CCAAGGTTTGACTTTACAATATATGTATTGCAAGTATGCTCTTTCATGCTTTCTCCACTCCTATGAGCTCCACATAAGCCTTAGTGGCAGGAAGAGAAAAGGCATAACATCTTTATTGCCTTGGTGAGAATCTATAAATACCACATATATTGAGAGACTTGAGAGTGTCATACAATGGAATCTCTGAGTTTTATTTTGAAAACTTATAAAAAAACTCCGAAACAATGGTGGAACAAAGAACTTGAGACATAGTGCTTGACTTGATTGTTCTATCTTTCAATTGCTCAAGACCCAAGTGAAGGCTAAAAAGCCCCATGGTTGAAGGTAATATGGGTAGGTTTGAAAGTTAGATCAGTTTATTCTAATCCGGAGGAGAATTTTTTATTGGACACATATGTACTTTTAAGGAGTGAAAGCATTGTAGCAACTCCTGATCTATTGCTGCGTTTGGCTTTGCTCAGAGACTAGCAAAGGTTAAGTGTAGGGGAGCTTGTTGACGGTAGTTAATGTTCATCATAAACCATCAATATAACTTATATAAATGCATAAAAAGGATCACCAACATAGGTCTAGGGGTTTAAACTAATAAATTCCATAAGTTTTAGTGAATCTATGTTTGCAGGAGGGTTTACTCAAAAAACCATCAAGGAGGGCCTATTCATCAAAGCAAACCACGTTTATCTGTAACAAAACCGACGTGGGAAGACTCTAGAAGACTCCAGAAGGCGAACCAATGAAGCGAAGGGCAGGCGGCTGCCATGTGGGGCCGGCTGGCCCCACCTGTAGGCTGTCCAGCCCACCTATCAGCCCCACCTTCAAATGTCGGTACTCCACCACCTCCTAGATTGCATCTACGCCGTTCTTTCAAATCAGTTTGATCCAAGGGTCCATAATTGATATTCTGGCCTATATATAGTAGCCCCTACCCCTCCCTAGAGCATCCCTGAAACCCTAATATACACCTCTCATTTAGAGATCAAGATACACTAGGAGGATTAGGTCTAGACTCTCCAATGTAGTAGATTAGTAGCTCGAGAGTGAGGGTCGAGTTGGGCTCATGCTCAAGTTCTGGATCTAGTCTTGGAGGCTCGACAAAGCCTTGTATCTTCACTTCCACATCTTATAAGACTTATTATAAATTCATCATATTCCTATCTACATGCTATGCTTACTTTTAATATGTATCTTGCTTAGTTGAGGTTATCATTAATTTTGTATGCGGGTTCATCGAGCGCTTAGCCTGCTAGTTTATCGAATGGGCTAAGTAGCCGAGCCTCGTGTAAGCATGGTGCTTATACGATGCTCTGCCTGTGAGTACACCCTGTTCTCTAGTTGGGTGGTAGCAGCGGGAGGTGACAGCCCCGTCTATCCTTTGTAGTCCACTCCGAACTGAGCAGGTTCTTAAATTGTAGAACCGTAGTCGCGTTAGTAGAGTTATCTATTGTGGGTACTCTACTGTCAAAGCGGCGTCCCGAAGTGCACAAGAGTAGAGTTAGTTTTAATAATAGTTGGATGTATATATACTTTGACCATGTAATAAGAATATCACAGGAATCTACCTCACTCGTTGCTCTCCTGAGTTGACTAGTTTACGTTATCTTATATATCTACCCCCTGAGTATCATTATCTTTAATTCCTATCATTACCTTCACCCCTGTTCTAGCCATGCTAGTTTGTTGACTGGTAGATACTCCTTTGATATTCAATAAGCATTTACTCCATTGTTTTGCTGTGGTAAAATATAAATAACAATACCTAGAATACTCCCGGTAAAATGCTACAATTGTATTTTGTGCGCTTACAGAATCCTTCATATTCTATTTGCACTTATAAATACCAACAAGCAGCAAAGATCCTCTGCAACCTCGGTATTAGAGGAAAATACCTCAAAACCTTATGAGGAACCCGCCTGCTACCATCTGCATCCTCCCATCTAGACTTTTTGCATTTTGGGCACGCTTATAATTCCTCACGATCACCCCAAAACAACACACAGTTGTTCTTGCACACATGGATACTTTCATAACCTTGTCCCAATTCTCGAATATATTTGCGGGCCTCCTCACATGATTTTGGTACGTTGCTACTAGGGAATGCATCTGATAGCAACGCCAATAGTGCATCAAATTAGCTGTTGCTAACTCGATAGTGGGACTTGATATAGAGCAACCTGACAAGGAAGGAGAATCTTGAGAAGGTAGATCTAGAAGAAACTGATTGCTTCAACTCATCCAGCACTCTTTCAAACTTTGGGACTCTTCCACCCCGCTCTTCAGATGTCAACAGGTTTTGAACTAAATCATCAAAATATGGTAATATGTTATCATCGCGGTCCTCCTACTCCTCCTCCACAATCCAACCATCATGATGAGATCCGTGCACATCTGATGGCTCTATAATGTCAGTACCTCCTACCTATTCCCCATGATGAATCCATATGGTGTATGTGGGTGACATTCTGTTTATAAGTAAGTCGTCCTTCACCTCCTCCCAAGTTTTTACCACCTAGTTAAGACAATATGTACATGGGCAAGGGATGTTTTGCTCTGGGTATTTTTGTTTAACCATATCCATGAACTCTTCAAATCCTATGGTGAACGCCGGCGAGAATGGTCTCCCATTAGGAATCCAGGATCTGTCCATCTATTGCAGCAAAAGTATGCAAAGTTCATTAGAGTTTCGACCATTGGGTGGACAATGGCAAAACTAGCATTAGAACAAAGCATACAGTGTTCGAGAGCACTAATCCGTGCATTTGTTCATATCATACTATCGGACAGTCTGGTTTTCTATTTTTGTGTGACAAAAATATTGATTTCAATTGAAATTCATATAGAATAGCCTTTCTTTATATGTTCTTTACTTTATCGTGTATAGAAAATGGAGTCCTATAATCACAGAAGAAGGTATTCATACCTTTGTTCTATGAACTGGCATGGCTCGGCTACAAGCCGCCTCTGTCGCGGCACATACCTGATCACGCGGACGCCAATGCCGCCACGCTCCACTGGGAGAGACCCGCCACGCCACCAAAATCACGCCTGAGGCACCACAGCAGATCAGGGATCCTCCACCTCCGCCGCCGCCGTTGTAAGTCCAGCGGACACATATTTGTTTCCACTTGCAGGGGATATATCCAATTTAGATCAACCTGTAACACAGCCAATAGGATACTATAGCGACTCCAAAGAGATGTTAGCACAGCCAGGCGTCTAGCGCAATGGTAAAGACGCTCCAATCCTTGTCTAAATCCCGTGTTCGACTCCCAGGTATCAGACCTTTTTTTCGAGAAATTAAACCCGGACGGCACACATGATACAAGTGATACGCAAACCGTCGGGTCCCACAGGTTGGATGAAGATAGAGATGTAGAAAGGTTATACGTGACACGTAAGCCGTTGGGTCCCATAGGTCAGATGCAGAAGGACCGAGCGGAGACTTTTATGATGAATTGCAAGTGTCAAGTGACACGTAAGCCATCGGGTCCCACACGTCGGATGGAGATGGAGAACGGTCCCACAGGTACACATGACATGTAAGCCGTCTGGTCTCACAGGTCGGATACTGAAGGGTCCCGCATGTACACATCAGAAGGAGAAAGGACCAAGCGAAGACTTTTATGACGAATTGCAAGCGTCACAGATGAGTAACTGCAGGTCCCACAGGTACACGTCGGATGAAGAAGGGTCCCACAGGTACACGTCGCATGTAGAAAGGACCGAGCGGAGACTTTTATGACGAATTGCAAGCGTCACGGATGAGTAACTTTAGGTCCCACATGTACACGTCGGATGGAGAAAGTACCATGTGCAGATCTATGACGAAGCTGTTCGTTAAAATCGAATATTGTTCGTCACAGATGTGTAATTAGTTCAATGACAAAGCCCTATTCGTCACAGTTTTAAAGGAGATCGTCACAAATGAGTCGCGCGAGTGATCTGTGATGAAACCCTGCGCTCTTCTATGACGTTTTTTATGACGATGCCTGATTTCGTCATAGAAAGGGAGGGTTGCAGGATTATCACCACCGATCTATGACGAAACAGAAATATTCATCATAAAAAGCGCTCTTCTATGACAGTTTCGGATTCGTCATTAATATTTTCGTCATAGAAGAGGATATTTCTAGTAGTGCTTGTCATGTTAGATTTAATTTATAAAACATTTTTGTCCACCTCCAATAATTATCATTAGTGGTAATTAATATTGAAAAAATTAAATTATTACAAAAAATGAATTAGGTTGTTACATTAGGTTAAAAAAATGGGATAAAACATAATCGATCACTATTAAAAAGTGGGGAAGAGGCTGGGTTGGGCCACGAAAAAGAGCAGGCGCAGTGGGCCGGAAGTGAAAAGGAGGGGTGGAGTGGGAGTGGGATCTGCCGTGGAGGCCTATTTGCCTGGTTACAACTGAAAAGTGATTTCCCCCTTTTTCTTTTAGGGACAAAGGAGGGTGTTTAAGAAGAGATTAAACTCCAAACAAGACCGAAACAAAACTTCTAACTCCGACCAAAACTTCAAATAAAAGCCAAACAAATTTAAGCCCTCATGCATCTAAAATAAAATAAAGTACACCAAATTAATTAGGAAATATGCCTTTAAAAGGGATGAGGGAAGGTTTCAGTGTCAGTAAGAGTACAAGTGGTAGGAGGCGATTGCATCAACTAAAATTTAGTTTGTTTGTAAAATGATTTTGACTTGATCAATAGCATGAATAGAGATTTTATTATGTTTTGGTTGTTCTGACGTGTATATACGAAATGTTGCCATAGCATTAACACAGACAATATACTGGCAGACAATATACTGGTTTATATAGAGAGAAATATGCTAACACGTCAGTGCGCCTGACTTTATTTTATTCCATCTCGATGGAGAAGGGATTCCCAAACATGCAAAACAACAACAGCCTTAATTATTGGCGCCTTATAGTCGCGGACGGTGCATGGATCGATCGACCGGCTCTGTGGAGCGTGCGCGGGGCCATGGTGGATCGATCAGTTGGTCTTGCAGGGGCAGCCTTCGGGGAGGAAGTCGCGGCACCTGTAGCGGGTGCCCTTGTCCGTGGACACGGGGACGCAGGTCTTGCAGGTGGCGGCGCACTTGGTAAGGAGGTCGTCGCAGGTGTAGACCCCCGACCAGCTGGTGCACTCGGCGCAGCACGGCTTCTTCGGCCCTGCGCGCGGTGACGGTGCGTATTTGCATTCAGAATCGATCAGTTCGTCGTCACACCCGCATATACGGGCAGCGTGCTATATATAGCTAGATGAAATTTACAGCATCAAGAGACATATATGCAAGCAAGTACCTTGTCCTTTGGCCACAGCTGCAGACACCAGAAGGGCCTGGAGAACTAGAATCGCCAAGAGAGTGCTGCTCTTCATCTTCTCTACCTCTACTGCTTGTTGCCGACGGACGCTACTTAGCTTGGAGTAGTAACAAGAACGGAGGCTTCGAGTTTTGTCACTGCTGAGAGGCAGATGTGCTACTAGACGAGAACTACGTACTCCATATATAGGCCGGGTGTGTCCTGATCGGGACATGGCATGTCCACATTATTGCAGTGCGGGCCAACACCCATGAGGCCATGACCGGGCCTTTTTTTTTTTTTGCAACAAAAACACGTGTTAGGCGAGTCTGATTGCTGCAGGCGCGGCGAGTCCATCATTTTTCTGTAGTACGCACTATCTTTGGTCGTCCTAGCTAGCTCTAGCTGGTCAAAAATGGACTGCGGCACGTTGACAGTGGCACCATCATAAAGTTTAGTGGCTCTGGCTAGCTCTAATAATGCATCCTACTGCCGTATGTACAAGCTGAGCATGGTGCAGGTCTATTTTGGATTAGCACGGGAGCATCGTCCCGGCCCTCTTGTCGGTCGGTCGATCTGCCCTCGCGCGTCGTCTACGCAGCACCTGCGAAGGTTCTCGTCGCATCCAGCGCCACCAACACCGTGTACGCGTGTACGCACGGCACTATGCTCTTCGTGTGTGTGATCCAGAGCCGGATCGAATATGGCTGGCATGCATGCACATTGCCACCAAAGCGGCCGATCGAACCCGTAATCGGGTCAATACTCCTTTTGGCCTTTTGGGCAGACGCATGGTACTAGCAGACATACGTAGGCGAGTCTGTGGCTTGAGGCGTCGAGTCATGGAAGCCAGTTGTACTCGTTATCATCATCATCATCATCATATATGTATGCACCACATCGCCCTCATCAGCATTATAATTCAGTATCTGCATCATTTCAAAAGATTATAATCCGAGATATTTACACATATGCTGATCCAAAATAGACTGCGGTGATGCGCTATACTTGTAAGAGCATCTCCAAGAGTATCCTAAATTTTCTTCTTAAAAACACCATGTTTTCCAACTCCTAAAAAGGTATCGAGAGAAAAAAAGAAGGTCATCTCCAATAGTACCTAATATTTTCACTTGGGTTTTTTTTTGCGGCACTTTTTTATCCACGCGAAAGTCTTCGTGGTCCCGCGAACCTACGCCGCCGCCGCCGCCGCCGCCTCCTCCTTCATTCATCGTGCCCTAGGATGCTCTTGGAGATGCTCTAAGTAGCTTTGTGAGCTGTCAAGAACCAAAGGGAGGGGTTAATTGATTGGTTAGCTCTTTCAAAAACTTATTTAGGTTCAACTTGATTTACGCTAGAAAAGCACATTAAATTAACTAGTACTCTAGTAGTAAGATGTGCACTAAAGCTTTTATCGCCCTTTACCTCCCACAAAGAGTTTAGTAATCTAGTGTGAAATTTCTAAACTAGCCTATGTTAATCTAGCTTGGGAGGGTAAAAATCATACAAACAAGCATAGATGTGGAATTAATCTTAAATACAGTAAGTAAAGGGTCGAGTCAAGTTATGGAAACCAGTTGTATTATGGTCATATATATGTATGCACACGTTGCTCTCATCAGCAGTATAAGTTGATATCTACGTCGTCTGAAAAAAAATCCACTATTCATATATGATGATCCAAAATAGACTGCGGTGACGTGCTATACTTGTAATTAGCTTTTGAGCTATCAAGAACCAAATAAGGGAGGTGTGAATTGGTTAGCTTTTTCAAAAACTTATTTTCGGATCAACTTGATTTACGCTAGGAAAAAACATTAAATTAACTAGTAAGATGTGCACTAATTTTTTTCTATCGCTCTTTACCTATCTAAAACCCACAAAGAGTTTAGTAACCTAGCGTGAAACCTTTAAACCATGTTAATCTAGGGAGGGTAAAAATCCTACAAACAAGCATAGATGTGGAATTAATCTTAAATAGAGTAAGTAAAGGGTGAAGTCAAGAAAGACGACAAACTCTCAGAAATGAGGTGATGTACCTTGTGGCATGAGCCCCTAAAAATGCAAACATATGAGCCTTTCCTTGGTCATGGTGTTCGATTCACCACAAATAAAGTTATCATTAACCAAGGCAAGTGTCGCAAGCCACTAAGGCTCACCACCATCAGTCGTATGTCTGAAGGACCGAAAACGGCGACCAGAGAGGGGGGGGGGGTTGTGAATGGGAGCCGTAAAATTTCTCGTGAAACTTTTTCGGCCGCTGTCCCAAAATCACCGCCAAACACATAAATTAAACTTCTTGATGTTGACAACCCAAATAAGTGGGTGGATGTTCCCTAAAAATATAGTGGGACACCACAAAAGAGTCGGAATACAAATCGGAGGCCAAACGCACAAGATACAAACAAAACAGCAAGCAAGGTGAGGCCGAAAATTCCGAGGGCTGGACACCAGAATTTCCATGGTAAAAGACGAAACGAGCAAATCTACCGTGAGCACATATTCAAGTAATAGGCAATGGACTAATCAAACAATGATTAGTTTGTGAATAATTAAATAGATTCCACCCTATTACTTGAAAGCTACGGCCACAAAAGAGCTTGCATACTCTGTGCACGCAATCAGAAAAATCAATCAGCACAGAGAGAGAAAGGATCGGACCAAGCAAGCAATCGACCGATCGGCTGGACCTGGGAACGAACCAAAATCACCAGAAGCCGATGCCTGCAGAACCAAAACGCACAAGAGAGAAACAGGCGGACAGGAAACTCAAGGCACCGGACACCCTTGGAAGGGCCGCCTGGTGCGTACGGTGCACCGTCTGGTCCCAGGGCGGTGTACACCGCCTCTTCTGGTGTCTCACGAACGAAACCAGAGGGAGCGAACGCAAAGAGAAAAAACCGGCACCGAACTCCTTTAGGCGGTGCTCCGCTCGGTGATCGACGGTGGCCACGGAAGCCTGATGCCTGGCGAGCGCTCGGCTGCTGGCTAGCGTGCTCCGCGTGGGAGGGTGTCGACAGAATATCATCGGCAGTTCTCCGAGGAGTATCTCACGAAAGGAGATTGATTGGTAGAGAGGCGTGTAATTAAAAATAAAAAGGCAACAGAGTCACACAAGTTAGACAGATTCAGGCCGTCAGTATGACGTAATACCCTACTCCTATAGTCTGTTGGATTGTATTGGCTATCGTATGATATTGCATGAATTTGTTACAGGTCGGTTAGATCTGAGAAATAACCGGAAACTAATAATAGATTACAGGAATCATGTGATCATACGTATCCTAACAGATCTCGCAGTATCTTCGGGATATCTTCCCGGTGTCTTGTGGGAGACGCTGAGCAGAGTCATGCCCCGCAAGGCTTCATCTTGTGGGCTAGAGCTGCCCCTGGGGGCGTAGCTCATGTGGTCTGTCGTGGGTATCCGGGGTCATACCCCCACAGCTAGTCCCCGAGCGCCTTGCACCCGTTGTGTAATGCCGTCTTGAGCTTGTTCGAGCAGGTGTGAACAAAGCCGAGCAGTCAAACTCATGGTCCGACCATCGTGATAAGTCGCCGAGCAACGTGAACCGTCGTCGAGCAGTATGAACCGTCGCCAAACAGTGTGAACCATCACTGAACAGTGTAACCCAAGTACGGCTTGCCATAAGGGTGTAAGGAGCTCAAGTTCAGAAACAAAATTTCTTCGTAGTGAACCAAGTGTGCCCACTTAGAGTCCGACCACGAGATAGTCTTCTTCAGCTTCAAGAGGCACGGAGTCTTCTAGATTTAAGCAAACACACTCACCGCAAGGTGAAGTGTGCCCACTTAGTCCCCGAACCTAACAGTAGATGATGTAGTCATGTGGTGCTAGGGTCCAAAGTAGAAGAATAGTAAAAGACCAGCCAAGCAGGCAGCCAGTTCCCAAGCGTAGCCCCAAAGTGAGAAAAAAGCACATTCACCGTAAGGTGAAGTATGCCCATTTAGTCCCCCAGCCTGACAGTAGGTGACGTGGTCATGTGGTGCCAGGATCAGAAACAGCAGTCAACTGAAGAAAAATCCCCAATGCGGTCAGGAACCGAGACATAATGCTGACGCAGTCCTCGAGCCACAAGAGAAAATCTTGGAAAAAGCAAAGCACGGAGAAGATACCGGAGTAACGGCTGCACAGTAGTAATTACTGAGCCATAACGGTTGGCGGAGAAGTCAGCAAATATTCGGCGAGCCGTAACAAATTGCGGAGATAAATCAGAGATACGGGCCGTGGTTGCGCGAAAGTCCAGGTAACGGCCCACCTTACTGTTGCGTAAAATTCGGAGAGGCGTAAATCGCGGGAACGGTTTCCCAAAAACCCTCGAATGCGAAAGGGTGAGGAAAGTGCTTGATAACTGCGCCGCCGCACCCCGTGCTCCCACCTTTGCCACGTTGCCATTTCATCTTCCTCCTTAGCCCTTACGCTTCTATATTCGTAACCGCACGCGCTTCCGCCGCCAGCCCCAATCCAGATCTAAGAGATGGCGCTGAAGAGGGGAGCCGTGAACCCAAAGAAGGCGAGTGCCGAAGCCAAGCGTGACAAAGAGTGGGTGCCATCTCGCACAGGGGAGGTGGAGCTCAACCGATTGGTGGGGGTGGGTGTTCTTCCTGACCGTGTCACCGTCGGGTGGCGGCCGGCCCTCGGTGAGCCTTTTCCCATGCCTCATACCGACGAAGCTGTAGTGTTTGAGGATTATTTCTGGCACGGGGTTGGGATTTCCTGTTCACCCATTCTTACGGGATTTGTTGGAATTCTGGAGAGTCAGTCTGTGCAACCTCCACCCAAACACAATATTGCACATATCTATCTTCATCCATTTCTATGAGGGGTTTCTCGGAATACTTCTCCACTTCAACCTCTTCCGTGCACCTATTCTGGCTGAAGAGAGGCGGCGATGGTTCCAAGGTGGTCGGTAGAGTGTATCTTTAGCTATGCGATGGAATGGTGGGCGAGTACCTTACTGTGCCGCTAAACACGTCGCTGAAGGGGTGGAACGCCAGGTGGTTCTATATGAAGTAGAGCCACCCTGCCGTCTGCTACGACGCTGACCACATCCCAGAGAGCCA